CAACAAAGATGATTTGGGGGGTTGGAGGCTAAAACATATGATGAATGGTTGCAGGTATTGGGTATGTCTAGTCTAGTGAAAAGAAGGACTGAGTGACATGATAGCAGTGTTCCAATATATCTCCCAAGCACTTGAAGGCAGTGTCAGGTTCCAAGTAATGCATGTTTTGACTGAAGGCTCCACCCCTCTCCAGTTCCAAGCTGTGTCAAGCTGAACTCATATTAGGATGTCTAAGGATACAAACAATCCCATACCCCAGTCAATTTCAGGCTTGACAGGCAGGACAAGAAGCAATGGATGGAGAGCTTCCGGTTGGCGCCGCGGCGATTCAGGTGGGGAATTAGTGGGGCTCCTCAGAGCCCCGCAAAAACCCTTTCTGTCAAGCCACCGGCGGCAGGTCTGTGGACCTACCCTGTCCTGTAGGGACAGGGGGCTAGAGAGGGACCCCTCGGATGGCTGAGAGGAATGGGCAGATTCCTTGGGGCCAGAGGCTTGCCTTCTGTGCTGGCGACAATGGATGCAGCAGCCATGGCGGCTGCCCCAAGACTGCGGCAACCGGAACAAAAGGATGTGCAGGAGGAGAAGTGGAGAGCTGAGCAGGGAGCTTGAAAGCCGGGTGAATGGACTTCTGCCCAGGCGAGAACTGCCCGTAAATCCTGGATTATAAAAGTAATCCAGGATTACTTTAAAAGCTTTAACAGTGGCTGAGAACTACTGGGGCAAAAAGACTCAAAGAAATGCTGGAAGGAAAAGACCTGTTGATGGATTGCGTTAATTACTGACTTCTTGGAAATGATTTCCTTATAGATTTGGTTTTTTTCTTTTTTTTTTTTTTTTGTGGCTAAATGAGAATGAATTATGTTTGAGAGAGAGGAAGGAGAAGAGGAAATAAATATGCTTTTAAAAGCAAAGACAAAAGACAAACGGGAATGGACAAAATGGTTGCCAGCTGAGAAGGGAAAGTGTAAATTCCAGACTGCTTGTTACTTGAAAGAAAAACTTTGTTGCTTGTTACTTAAAGTGGACTATTTTGAGAAAAAATTCAGGAGGCTTGGCTTTGGATATATATATATATAATCTGTTTATTGGAGGATTTATTGAAGATCAGAAAGAAGAAACTAAATGGAATAATGAAAACTGAACTAATAAGTGTGGCAACAAGAGAAAAACGGTGCGGCAATAAAAGAAGGACATGATGATACCATATATGGAATAGCTAACCCAGAACTAACTTTATAGAACTTATAACTTTGATGACATTGAAATGGAAAAGAAACATACTTAGACAGATTGGAGAAAGAAAAAAAAATGGAATATATTATGTAACAAGATAATAAAATACTACAGTTTGATTTAAATGGATGTAATGGTGTCTGGATGTTTGAAGTTTGAATAATGTTAGGAGATACTTTTCCTCTTCTCTTTGTTCTCTCTTTGTTTCCTTTTCAGTTTTTTTATTTTCTCTTTTGTCTTTTTTCCCCTCTCTACTTTTTCTAACTCTTTTTTCAATCTCTTTTGTCATATTTCTATTCTCTTTCCTTTCTTTATTTTTGCTTCTTTTTTCTTTTTTATTCTAACTATTATAAATATTGTTATTATTCTCTCTTTTTCTTTACTATTATTTTTATTGAGATGGATTTTATAAATATACAAACAATTTGATTAGAAAATAAGAGTACAAATGATTGAAAAACATGATTTTTGGATGCTCTAATGCCTTTTTAAATTTTGAATTCTTAATAAGCTCTATTTACAGACCTAATAATTTAGAAGAAAATGTTTTTCAAGGTGCTGGATATTAAAAAGAACTATTTACAGACTTAATAATTATAGAAAATTGATTTTAAAATGACTTAAAATGTTGTTACTTATAGAAAATAAGAAATAAGCATGGAATGGGAGAAAGCCTATGAGAGAATAGGAGCTAAGATATTTGTTGATATACATTCTTATTTTAAATTAGTAAAAGATATGGAGGAGAATGGATTGAAAAATAAATATGGGTAATACATTGTGAATTAATTTAAAGTTAAAAAACTGAATAAGAGATGTAGGAATGGAGGAAAACATAAAGCTGGACAATAACTAAAACAAAATGCTATGAACCAGCTAAACAAATGAAGTTAGGAGTGGAGGGAAGCATGATTCTGGAGAACAGTGAAAGAAAAGCTGTGATCCAATCTTACAAATAAGGTAGGAGTGGAGGAAAGCATCATACTGGAGAACAGTTAAAACAAAACTGGGAACCAGTTAAAAATAATAAAAAAAAGAATTAGGAGTGGAGGAAAGCATACGCTGGGTAACAGTTAAAGCAAAACTGTGAACTAGCCAAAAAATAAAAAGTTAGGAGTGGAGGAAAGTATATCTGGAGATCAACTGAAATAAAGTTGTGAACCAGTTAAAAATAGGGGTTGGAGCGGAGTTGCTTTCCATTGCTGGAAAGCAACTATTTGAGTTGCGAACTAGTTTCATAATAGATCTAGGAGGAGTGAAGGAGATAATGTCGGTGTGTGGTTAAAATTATATTGTGAACCAGCCTAAATAAGTAAGGTTAGAAGTGGAGAAAAGCATTGCTGGAAAGCAGCTGATTAAGTTGTGAACCAGCCAAAAAATAAACCTAGGAGGAAGTGGAGGAGATAATACTGGAGAATAGTTAAACCAAACTGTGAACCAGTTAAACAAATAGAGATAGAAGTGGTGGAAAATACCACTGGGAAATAGCTACTTAAATTATGAATCAGCTAAATTCAGTCTTATTAGTATTAGAGAACAAGCCTGAAGTAAATGAAATAAAGTATTTTGGGAGTAACAAATTATAGATGGAAATGTTGATTGATTTTGAAATGACTTCAAGAGAGGAGGAAAATATTCTTTGTCAAGATCATGGATACTAGCTGCCATTTAAGAGAAGTAGAATATAGATTTGATGTAATGGGTCTTAGGAAGGAATATATATGAAGTATTGGTTGTTAAAATGACAAAGATTTGGAATGGTGTTTGTTTGGAAATAATTGTTTAGAATTTTGGGTGATATAGTAGAATGATAAATGTTTAGAATAAGATTCTTTCTTTTCTTTTTCTTTCTTTCTTTTTTTAAAGATGTAAATGGAAAAATTTGGAACAAAATTGGTTGAGGGAATGTGAGTAATTGTATCTATTTTATACTGGATCAAATCCTTGCTCTAAAAAGATGTATTTTATGTTGTATGTTTAAAAAAAAAAATTCAAAAAAAAAAAAAAAGAAGCAATGGATGGAAACTAATCAAGGAGACAACCAACCTAGAATTAAGGAGGAATTTCCTAACAGAGTGAACAATTAACCAACGTAACAGCTTGCCTTCAGAAATTTTGATGCTCCATCACTGGAGGTTTTTAAGAAGACATTGGACAGCCATTTGTCTGAAATGGTATAGGTTTGAGCAGGGATTGGATTAGAACACCTCCAAGGTTCCTTCCAACTCTGTTATTTTGTTATCAGGGGTGTCAAACTGGCGGCCCGCAGGCCAGATGCATCATGTGCAGGCCACACCCACCTCAGCTCTGTGTAGGGAAAAAAGTCACAAAAATCACATGACAGCAACATGACACCATGAGTTTGACACCTGTGTGTTAAATGATGCTGGTTATTACAGAGTTTTCCTCTCTCATCAAAGGAAAAATCCTTTATATACAGTAGGTGGCTGTTCTATCACAATCCCAAGAAAAGAGGGGGCAGTGGCAAAAGGACAACCTCTTACAGATCATCCAGTCTAACCTGCATATACAATGTTTCTCTAGAACTATAATATTTAAGTAATTGATTTGTTAGTTTAATCTGTTGAAAATCCTGTGGTTTTCAATTGAATTAGGAAACAGATTGTAAACATTTGCTAAAATTTAGTTGTAATAAAACAATTCAGTTTTAAAAAGCAATTAAAACGATCAAGAATTGGTTTCAAATCATTAAATATTTTTAAAATTGCAAACAGTTGAGACTCTGGAAAGCGCAGAGAAGAGCAACAAAGCAGTTTCTAAATTAGGGTTAATTAGGTTAATTAGCACTGTCATATCTGGGTGGCAAAAATCTGGAAAACTCTAGATGACATCAAGAAGATTAAAAAATCATTATAAAAGATTACAGATTATAAAAATAATCTGTATTTTTGTAGCCATGTATGATTATATTAATTTAAGCCATATCAGAAAACAAAATAAAGCTCTTGGGAAACAGCTCACAAAAATTAAGGACTGGTTTATAGAAAATTAGTGTTTGTGACTTAGGTTAGAAAAATCTAAATAGAAAATTATGGCTGCTGGCGTACCCATTTTAGGATCTGCTGGTAGAAACCCTTAACAGATTCTTCCAAAGGGAATTAAATCATGGACAAAAAATAATTTTCACATATGCTTTTATAACATTAACCAAAGATAGAAGACTTGACTTCCTAATTTGAGGAAGCATCAATTTGCAAGTCTGCTTCTCAGTAGGTTTACTTCTCAGTAGAAAAAAGGGGATGAAGGAATCTCAAATGGGAGAGGAATCCAAATCCCTGTGAAAATTATTTTGTGGAAACTGAATGGATTTTGGAAATGTATTCCTTCTAAGCGACACAAAAAAACAGAAATGTTAGAGGAAAGGGTAGAAATAATTATGCAAATTTTGCATTAAACATGTTGCAATATTTATAAAATATCAGCCTGCAAGTGCCAACAATATATATATATATATATACACACAGTGTTTACAGAAGGCAAAGTAAATACACAGATATATAAAACATTGTCTTCTGCAAATATATTAGTTTTCATATTTACAACTCTATCTCTCACACACATACAATATATCATATATTATTTAGGATATATAAAAGAAAATTGTCTATTTTAAAAAAAACAATAAAATGAAACGTTTAATATGAATTAATTTCTACCATTAACAAAAATAAAATAAATATTTGCTAAATTGCCTTGCATACAGAATGATATAATGTATGTATTTCATTCTTTTACCCTTGTCTTAGATCGCATTTTTTGAACCAGCTGATGGACAAGACAAACTAGTGAAGAAGTGGGGATTTAAAGCAACTGATATACAAGAACTCAGTAATAAGTATGCATTTGTTCTATATTACATTCTCAACAAATTATTTGTCTGGTTTTTTTTCAAGGACGAATTGTGGCTTATAAATCTACTTGACTAAAAGCAGAACAACCAGTGGCACCAGTTTGGCTATAATAGCAAAGAAGCTAGGGACAAATAGGATTGATGAAATAGTATGCTCCACTACAATTGTTTTTAGTGTATTAGAAGAGGATCATTATGCAAGAATTTAAATCTTAAATCTACTGAGACTTTGTAAGATTATTTCTGTTGATTCTTGTTTATTCTTGTCCTTGTTCTTTACTTAGCTGAAAAAAATAAATCCATTTATGTAACTTCCTTTCTCTTCTTCTGCCATGAGGTATTCCAGTTTATTAATTTTTTATGGCTTTTTAATTTAGTAAGAGTTGTACAGGCATCAAATCTATTGCAGAAGTGTTTTGGACATTGTTTGGTCTTGAAAAAAAAGTCACACAACTCATTAAAACAGTCACATCTTTTTTAAAGCTTCAACCTGTAATTATATTTATGAATATCAGAGGGATGCTGTGCTGATGGGAAATCTGCCAATTATAAATAATTGGCAAACCGTGTGCAATACCATTATCAGTTGTATCATTTGATTATCTATTTAAAATATTTGTGTAATGCATTGCACAAAGAAATCTCATAACAATTTGCACTTAAGAGAAACTGTTCAAACAATTGATAAAAAGTTATATTAAAACACTGTATAAATGTAAAATAATAATATCTCTCTCACACACAGACACACATTAATACAGTACTGATGCCAGCTTCGAGCTTATCACTCAGGCTACATGAAAAGATTAGGGAACATTCACCTTACATCTGTTTGGAACCCGCAATTGAGCGTGTCCAGAGATATTTCACAAGAAGAGTTTTCCACTCCTCTGCTCCCAACAGAATACCTTATGCCACTAGACTTGAAATTCTGAGTTTAGACAATTTAGAACTATGCCGCCTTCGGTATGACCTAAGCGTAGCTCATAAAATCATCTGCTACAATGTCCTACCTGTCAAAGACTACTTCAGCTTCAACCACAACAATACATGAGCACACAATAGATACAAACTTAAAGTGAACCGCTCCAAACTCGATTGCAGAAAACTTCAGCAACAGAGTGGTCAATGCCTGGAATGCACTACCTGACTCTGTGGTTTCATCCCAAAACCCCCAGAATTTTAACCTAAAACTGTCTACTGTTGACCTCACCCCATTCCTAAGAGGTCTGTAAGGGCTGTGCATAAGTGCACAAACGTGCCTACCGGCCCTATCCTAATGTTCCCTTTACCTGTATTCATTTCTTGTATTCAAATCATGTTTATACTTATATATATTATCTAATACGTGCTTGACAAAATAAATAAATGAAATAAATAAAAAGTTTAAGGTGCTCCTGCTTTAAATAAACTTAAAAAAACATGTCCCACTGAGACACTGACCACATCCATTCCAGAATATTTGCTGGAATCACATAAGATGCAATGTTGACAATAATATATGAAATATATGGTGTGACAAAAATAAATATTTTTTAGGCAGCTGGTTCAGTATTATGTAACGTAAGGAATTATCCTGTGATGGGCCTGCCTGTATTGATTACGAAATCTTGATATTACAATTACCACAATCTTACTGCAACAAAAAGTTATAATTCAAAGTACTTTGTAATTAACTATGATGGCAAGGGTTCCTTTCAAGAAAAATGTTATTATCTGAGCCTGACTTGATATTTGAGCCAGAAACTATCCATATCTTTCGTTCCTTCTCTGGAATTTATATCAAAATGTCTTGTCCATTTTTGTGGGCAGAGAATGCCAGGATGTTTGTCGACTATGTCAACCAATCAACAATTATTTTTACTACGCACTGATGTTAAGTCAATGAGACTTCCCAGTTCACTGCACAGTAATCGACAAGTTCTTTAGCTACCCTACTGCAAACTACAGTTGCTTCTATCAGCAGCAGAATGTAACTTGCCACTGGAAAGGCAGATTTTACGGCAAATCCTAGACCAGCATATCTCAATCTCGTCAACTTTAAAATGGATGGATGGCAGCCAGAGGAATTATGGGAACTGAAATCTTCCCATCTTAAAGTTGGCAGGGTTGAGAAACTCTGCCTCAGATGATTACACTACAAGGTTCATGCTCAAACTAGCACATAATAATTCTGAACATAATTGCAATAAATTCTTAAATACTGTGCAAGTCACCCGCTTCGATTGAAGCAGTTTATTTTGGGCATAATCCATGTACCAGCTATGACAGTTTATTTTATGTTTACAATGTCTTTCACTTCATTAGCAGTGAACAGTTTTTTTAAATAAAGACCTTGATCCTGCCCTGTAGCAAAACATGAGGAAAGAACAGAGACAAGGAAGTTACACAAGAAACACTGGGTGTCCTTCAGTAAATTTTAAATAGGGTGGCTTCTGGATAAAGTTTCTTAATAATTGTTTATAAAAAGCCACCAGCAGATAAATCATGTAGAATTACAATATGATTTATAAAACCATGATAAATAGTTTAAGACTTTTTGGTGTTCTCATCAATTAGCACCAGATATTCAAAAAATACAATATACAGAAATGATAAAAATGAACTAAACAATGGCAGAAGCAAAACAAACAACTCCCCCTCCCGAATTCTTCACTTAAACATCCAAAACTAGCCAAGCCAGCAATGTTGCTACAACTTCTCATCACATGACTCTGGGGGCACTACATCCATCATAAATATGAGCAAATTGCCAAGCATCTGAATTTTGATCATGTGACCATGGGAATCTTACGACAGTTGTGTGAAAAACAGTCGTATGTCACTTTTTCAGTGCTGTTGTAACTTCGTACCATCACTAAACAAATGCTTGTAAGTTGAGGACTACCTGTATAACATGTCTTATCAATGACTTGGAGATAACATAAATTGTGTAGCAGGCTTTATTATTTCAGCATGCTTCCATTTCCATCATATTGAAGATCCTTGTGAAACAGTTTATTATAAGCAGAAGCTGAACTTGCCTTTCTCCGTTTCCACATCTTGGCACATTTTTATGTACATTTTGTGGGAAACTGTAGGTTTTGTAGGAATGCTAGCCATATTTTTGTAACCCTCACATACAGTACCAACAAACATTAAAAAAATGTCAAATCCTCTTCAGCCAAATCATGTTTTGCAAGTCATTGCAAGCATTGAAATTAGGCTGACTCACTCTTGTTAAGGTTTAGTCATTGTTAAATTGTTTTATTGTCATATTTTGTTATTGTAAACTGAGAGTTGTTGAACAGAAAAGTAGATTTCAAACTTAGAAAAGAGTATAAATATTATTCCTAATTAGACAACTCATATAGTGCAGTGGTTAAAGTGTTAAGTAGGAGTAACAAGTCCATCCTCCCCCACAGAAGCTCATTGTCTGACTTTAATCCACTCATTCTCTCAACCCAGCCTATTTCAACAAACTGAGGGGGGGAAATTGGGGGGGGAACAGGAAAAAGAAGCGCCATGTAGATCACATCTAGATTACATCAAATTCTTGAATGAAAATATATATGTTTGTGTGTGTGTGTGTGTGTGTGTGTGTGTGTGTGTGTATACACATACATAAAACACCTACTCTCTCCCCTGGCTCAAACTGATGAAGGGAGAACTTGTGGCTCAGAGGTTAATACAACTGCCTAACATGCAGGCAGCCCAAGTTCAAATCCAACTAAGGGTATGGTTAGCTTATGAGAGCTAAATAGATCTATACGAGTCTCCCTTTATTTCTTTATCAGCAAAATATAAATTATATTAATATTTATTATATATTAATGATATCAAAGTGTAGTTGAGAGGCAGAACCAATTTCCTATATGCAATTATGTATATACAAGTTATAAATATATAGACACAGCACCAATTACTTTGCATAATGCTGGCAATAATATGTATGACCTAACCAATCACTACATTTATCAATATTAACCACATATAAATTAATATGGTATTTGTTCATGTGAAAAGGTAATTATTCCTTTTCCTTAGTAATAGCATATATATGGTCTTCAGGTACTTTGGTTTCAAGCTAAGATTATTCCACAAGCATATTAAGACATCCAAGTGAGATTTGATTAGGGGATCTGAAGAAGCAGGAGAAAATGATGCATCATAATGTCATAGCACAAATACTGAATTTACATGCTTGTGTCAGACATCATGATGATCTAATACTGTACTGTATGTAACTGCAACATATGTGTGATTACATCATCATGAATATATGATAATGTTAATATCACTGTTACTGAAATCACTGGATTTAATAAAATGCAAATAATAACATTTGGAAAGTTGATGTGCTTGTTTCTCATACTTTTTTTCCCAGTGAATTCTTCATGCCAGGTTTGGTTGATGCACATATCCATGCCCCACAGTATTCCTTTACAGGGATCCGAGGAAATCTGACTCTTTTGAAATGGTTGGAAAAAACCACTTATCCAGTAGAGGCTGAATTCAAAAAAATTGATTTTGCTGAAGAAGTATACACTAGAGCTGTGGTAAGACAGATGTCTGTCTGTCTACTTGTCAGTTTGGCCCTATCTATTGTACCTCTTTTCCTTATCACTATAAACATCTCAGGGTTCTTTCCCTGCTATTACTATGGTTTACAATTATATAAAAAATATTATTTGGGAAAGGTTATGATGAATTTTATATAATAATTTGATAATCCTTTATCTCTTCTTCTGAATTCTTCATTTCTAAATCAATACAAACATACAAAGAAAAAATTCTTCTTCCTGATCCCTTACAGTTCACCATGTATAATTCATGAATAAACAGGAGCAATTGGAATATATAGTAAACATTATTCTAAAGCTAGAATTATTAAACCTCTATGTCATGGCCTGCTCCCAGATAATTAAAGCATGAGCAGATAAAGCTAAAAATTGCTTTAAAACTTACAATTTAAATTTGCTTTGAACATCTTGTCTGGCCTCCATTCTTCTTCTTCTTCTTCTTCTTTTTTTTTTGGAAGAGCATTAAGAACTGGCTCTGTAAACTTGCCTGGATACCCAAGAATGATATGCAACCTGGGAGTGTTGGTGGCTTCCATCTTTTGAACTTTGTCTAGTTCTGTAGGATTTTATGGTGTTTATTTGTAAGCCACTCAGAGTCACTTAAGGTAGTTTGTGAGATGAATGGTGTATAAATTAGATGAATAAAATAAAATGCAAAACTCTGTTGTTTGGAAGAAGCCCCACTGAAGTCAGAAAGATATAAAAAGTTGAGTAATTATTTGGACTTGATTTCAGGAAAGTACTGAAGAACTATCCATCTACAGCTCTTTAAAATAGCTGCAAAGATCAACTGTACAATTCTGGAAAAAAACATGGCTCCTTTAAAGAGCTCATAATACGTCCTTTTTGAAACAGCTTTAAGGAATCAAATCCAAAATGCTGCCTAACCCTAATGAACACATATGTTTATGCAGCTGGAAATCAATGTTTTATACAATTAGTTTTGCATGGAGTAGTTTTCAACTCTTTAAATACATATGGATGATTTCCTAGTTATTACACCTGATTTATAAAACAGGAAAGGCTAAGTAAATATAATACTGTTGCTTTGGTAGAATACTTTATGAAACACTAATTAGATGCATGCATCATTTTTAATCTCTGCTCATGATCTAGCCATTTTTAAGTGCAACTAACCTCAATGGTGAAATGGGGCATGTAATTTTTTTTCTCTCTTTGAAATCTGTGGGATTTAAAAAGGGAGCCAACTCTGAATAGATTGGATTAATGAGAGGTTAGAAATGGGGTTGAGTCACAATTGAGCTGCTTAGAGTCCATTAAATATAATGTAGTCTTAGTTCTATAATCAATTTAAAAATGACCACTCCTATCACTCCCCTTTCCTTTAATATACACGCTTTTTGCTTTTCTTCTATTTTCTCTGGGAAATCAAATCCGTCATATGGAAAGACAAGTTGCAAGTTGATATGATTTGTAAAAACATATATTTCAGGAAAAAATTAGGGCAAAGTAACACAGTTTGTATAAAGGAAAAAGTAAAACGAGTCTATAAACTGTACACACATATTAGTCATTCAGATTAAACAGAGATAAACCAGCTATTCTGATTTATCACTGGCTATATTTGCACAGTGGATTTGTTTCACTGTGATTTATTGAATAAATTATAATGCTTAACAATATGCTAAACTGGAGGCAAGAAACAGCATATTTGTTTTGTATAATTTGAACTAAATCTTTGTACAGGAAAAAAAGTAATAGTTTCTGCTTTGTTTGCTGAAGGCCGTAACTGAATCCTTAGTAGTTCTCAAGAGACAGAAGGGAAGAAACAAGCCAACCCAGGAAAGATAGAACCCAAGGACACGTTAGATATACTGTTAAGTTAATATACCGCTAATAATTTTTTTAAAAAAAATAGATGACATGTGGTAGTATGAGGTATTTTTTCTATAATGTCTATAATTTTGTCCTGACAATTGTCATTGATTATACAGTATAGATGTGACAGGTTTTTTAAGAAAATGGTAGTATTATTCACTGCATTATTCTTTCCTGAAACAAGTAGATTGTGAGGGTTTTTTTTTCCTACAGAGACGAACACTCAAGAATGGTACAACTACAGCTTGCTATTTTGCCACAATTCACACAGATGCTGCTTTGCTTCTGGCTGACATTATAGGTAAGACTGTAAGATTGTCAAGAACTTTTAGAATGGGCTAGCAGAAAATAAATTGGGATTTATTGGTCAGTGATTAAAAGTAGATTGGTAAGGCTTTATGAAGTACAGTTATCTAATAATAACAATAATTAAAATGTATTTCCTCCTCAAATTAGTTGTCAGTAAAAGAACACATGAAGGAAAATCAGAACTACTATTGATTTCAAATTCCTGAACTAAGTGTGTGAGGCATCTTTTTTTCTTCTTCTTGGTATATGTCTGTGTGACCACATTACTATTTTGTGTCTGGTTTCTGGGTTAGTGGAACTTGAGAATTTTACTTTTAAAAAAAAAGTAAACAAAAGTTGCAAGTACCGGTAGATCCTACTTTTACAGGTAATGAGAAATTTTCAAAAGTTCCAAGTATAATTCATATTGCCTTTATCATTGTGAACTGGATCAATTAAATGATATTCCTGTGTTGAGTATAACACACTTCAATCCTTCAATTATTTTCTATGCAGTTAATAATATAGGGATTTATTTTCTGGAGTCATCACTCATACAAGCTGTTCATTCTGTTTCAACAGCAGTGAATAAATCTAGGAAACTTCCCAACTAGATATGAAAATAATTATTCTTTGCTCTTAGTCAATGAAAACTGCATAACAAAAGCTAACATAAATTCATCTAATTACCAAAAACAAGCCAACAAATCCCAGTTAAGATTGTAGTTTTCATCCTTATCATGAGAAAATGTTTCCAAAAAGTATGCATTTTTCTACTGTTATTTTTATTTACCTTCTACTACTTATATAGCATTTTTTCAATGTTTGAAATATTTTGTTTTGCTTTCAATTCCTCTAAAAGGATCTACACTGGGAATAAATGAAATAAGTTTTAACTAAGGAATTTATAGCTCACATCTCACAGTGGTAACTACATTATATTAGATCCTATATTTTGTAAATGCTTTCAGGCGGTGGGGGAACTGTAATGGTGTGGCTAAAAAGACACAAACTACACAGAGAGATAATTATGAATTTCATGGAACTCTTTCTATACTATTCTATTCCAAATGAGTGCCTGGAATTGTGAGATATGCTTGTAATGTCAGAATTTATTGGCAATTTTTTTTTTTTAAAAAAAGACTTGTTAACAATGAGGATCAAGGAAATTATTCTTAATCTTGTTTTTCATATTTTATAGATAAATTTGGCCAGAGGGCATTTGTGGGTAAAGTTTGCATGGATATCAATGAAAGCTTCCCAGAATACAAGGAAGCCACCAAAGAATCAATTGAGGAAACTGAAAGGTGAGCCAGATAGTTCTTCCTGTATGATTTAAGCAGCAACATTTTTTAAGAATGATGAAAGAAAGAGGACATGGATTACCAAAAATTAAAGCAAAGACTAACATGTGACATCTGCTTCTATTTTATGTGTTTCTAACAGGCTCATACCACACTAGGAATAATTTCACAGTATTTGGGATTTTCTCAAAAATATTGCCAAAATGTTTGAAAAAGGAAGAAAAGCAGCTATAGAGAAACTAATGCCAGTATTGATGTAGCAACAGCAATAGCAATAACACTTAGATTTATATACTGCTTCATAGTGCTTTCCAGTCCTATCTAAACATTTTATAGAATCAGCATATTGCCCCCAACAATCTGGGTCCTCATTTTAATGACCTTGGGAGGATAGTAGGATTGAACTGCTGGAGTGGAATGCAGAGTTAGCCTGCTATAATACTGCATTATAATCACTGTGCCACCATGGCTCTTACATAACACATTTATGGGCATATAACTTTTCTAATATCTTAAAGGTCATTGAACTGAACTCAAAGCTCATGTGTGAATAAGATAAAGTTATAAGCAGAACAATGCTACACTTTTATGAAAGTTCAAGTATTAAAAGTATTTATTTATTTATATGGCTGCACTTCTTAAGCAATTTTGGGTGACTTACAATGTATTTCAGACATCAGTGGCTGATTATGTATATATGAGCATAGTCATAGATTTCTGCTCATGCAAAGAGACATCCTTCTCTTCAACTTCTATGTAGCCCAATTGATTGATTGATTGGTTGGTTGATTCATTGGATATAGTCACCCATCTTGCCTTGGTAATTCCAAGACAACAATATATAAAAGCACAATCCAAATAAACAATAAAACAGCATTTTAAAAAACTATGAAGGCAGACAAGATAAATCTTGTATGGTAAAATATAAATAAAATAACTTTTAACCATAATCATATGGACTTCCATTATCTACATGATTCCCAAGCCTGGAACATATCTATGTCTTCAAAGCTTTTAGAAAGATTAACACTGCATTGGCATTCCATTGGAAAATGCTTTGTTCTGTTTGCCTTGCTGGGAACTTGAAAACTAATAAGTTATGGTAGAATATATATATATATATCGTGGGACAAACTCAGATACTGATTCTAATTCTGAAGAAAAGGTTTCAGCAGAACCTGTGGAATTTCAGCCTCAGGAGACACAAGAATCATATAAAAGTAATCAAATATAGGCATCACATGAACAGGTGGAGCAATCAGAATGACATAAGGCTTCCCGGACCATGCATTCTGCAAGTAGAGAGGAGAGCAAAGCAGAGAGGTTGCCAAGAAAGGGACAAATCTCTTGAATAATGGCAGCTGACTGCAGCCTGATTTAAGATCCAGCCTTGATCCTCGTTTCTTTGCTGGAAACAATTGTCTGATTTGTGGCTCTTGCATGACAATTCAGGTGGATTCTTCCCATGAAATTCTGATCTCTGGAATGACTGACAACCCTTACCCAGCTCTTGGAATCTTGGAATGATTTTGGAGTGTTCTTCACTCTTCATTTCTCAGACACTCTGTTTTGACTTGTATGCTTTGACTGTTGTTATCTCTTTTACCCTGAGTAAACTGTGAACTACCAAAGCAACATTGTTGAGTCAGTATTTGAAATCAGAAGCAGAACAGTTTGTTTCCAGCCTCATTAACTCTCAGCTGACTTGGGAGTGAAACTTTAACTAACAGTCACACTGAGAAAAATAAACAGTGTAGAGAAACATGCCATTGGGAATACCCAGCTGACTCAGCAGCTTGCTTTACTCACAGCCCAAACGCAAATATTACCAGTCCAGTCAGCATAAGCAGTGACTGCAGTAGCAACTACTCCCCACTCTTGCAGAAAATGTCCTATTGCAAGGGTATCAAACTCAATTTCATTGAGGGCTGCATCAGGGTTGTGTTTGACCTCGGGGGCAGTGAGGTGGGGCATCAGGGTGGCTGTGGCTGGGGGGGGGACATGGCCAGCTCAAAGTCATTTGTGTCAGGGGCATCTGTGCTGGCCCGTGCAGGTCTGGGATCCATTGTCTCCAGTGGAGGAATTTCTCGATGCCTCTTGCCTTGTGATCAAATGCCACTTTTGCTAGTAGTTTGTGAAAATGGAGCTCGGGAGGCGTGTGCATGGACGTCGGGCTCCATTTTCAGCTGTGACAGCCTCCTGCAGCCCTCTGCCAGCGAAAATGAATGAGCTTCGTTTTTGCTGCCAGAGGCACCACGGACCAGTCCTTTGCTGTTTCCAGGATGGCCCCATGGACCAGATCTAAGCACCCCATGGGCCTTGAGTTTGACAGCCCTGTCCTATTGCCTGTCCAGAAAAGTCTGATGGGATGCTATATCAATTTATTACCTTTTGGGCACAATTCAATCTATATATGAACATGTATGGGGGAGGATTTTTCAACAGAAAGACATTGAGGTGGCTTTATAATAAGCTTTTTATCTAGAATTGTTACTACCGGTAAATGGGTCACATCACTGTTAACACAACAGAGCCTCCTACTCAATGACTGCTGGATTTAGTTGACAGATCTAAACCCATTTATTCTGACCTTGTGACAGCACATTGCCAAAATTTGAGAACTGAAACAAGGGTGCCACTCAGTGGCTGAATATGTAAGAGCTTTCCAGCTAATCTTCCAAGATCTGGCTTGGATGAAGCAGCACTTATCAATCATTTTCAGGAAGGGCTGGCAGATGAAATTCTGGATGAGCTAAAGACATGCAGGAATTAGTTCAACCGTGTTTTATAATAGTTAACAGCAAAAACTAGAGCTTGAGCTAACAAACATCTCTGCCCACCGAGCTAGCAAACATCTTTGTCAAGCATCTCTGTCCACACCTCGCCTTGAGAAACCATCTCAAGAGGAGCCCATGCAGATCAGGGTTCTCACCCTCATCTGACTGATACAGAAAAGGCACAAAGGTGCAGAGATGGTCTATATTTATACTGTGGGGGCCAGGACCACCTAGCTCCTACATGCCCTGCGAAGAGACCAATTCACACATTTTTCTAGGTAGGTAATAATGAAATATTTTTATGCATTTGAGAACACTACGCACAGAAGCATGACTTCAGTAGCCACATTTTAAATAGCCTGCATTATAAAATGCTATCTAACCAGAAGTGTTTGTAGCCATGTCTAATTAGTTTAGAAAGAGCAAAGTTCTGAATTACCTCAAGAATTATATTAGCCATCACAATGCAATGACTGTGGAACCCACTCATACCTGATCTATTTTAAGATTTTAAGAACAATGCTTGTTTCTCTGTATTGCTCAAAAGTAGATAAATGTTAAAAGCCCCTGGCGGAGAGAGATATAGTATCAATTAAATAATGTAGGATAGATGTGAAATTAGAATTCATATTTTCAGAGTATTGTCAATGAAACATATTTATGCCATACAAAATGCCGCTTATCAAAACAGAACACTTCAGTTTTCTGATACAGAGCCAAAAGTTCTTACTTTCTAAAAAATATGCCCATAACTATAACATACAATTATGCTTTCACTTGATTTTGTATGTTATCTATTTAGTTGTCACAGGAAACATAGTAATAACCAGTTGTCTACTGTTAATTATCAACAGCTTGTGCACATTTAAGATCAAAATCCTTAGCTGGTGCACATTTGCACAGCCTCATTAACCACCACAGAAAGTGTTGATTTCCTGCAGTCTTTCCAAATATGGCAACAGGGAATTCTGGAAGTTGTAGTCAAGACCCTTGTGAAGCATACTAAATTGAAATAATAATTGATTTCATGGTTGATGTCCAGACTCGCACATTCATTTATATGTCTTTTTCTAATTCCCTTTTTTGATCTTTTCAGATTTGTTCAAGGAATCCTGGGGAAAAAAGTAAGTAAGCTGAGTTTTCTTCCACAGAGCAGTATATATAATTTCTTTATATCCTATGTTTAGGTTTTTATGTAACAAAATGATCTTGCAATATGAAACCATGTATTGCCTAGATGTCTTAAATTGAACTCCTGTGTACTGCTACAAGTCAGGGATTATAAGCGCTCATTCAGATAGGATAACAGGAGGTCTCATGCTTTGCCTAGAATGGTATCCGTCTACAGAAGGTATTGCTTTAGTTTTTACAGATCTGCCAAAAGTGAAAATCAAACTGAAAGTTCTAATCTATTAGAAGGATAACATTAGCTATATTTAATTACATATGAACACTATGCAGCTATAGTTTTATCCTGGTCTTTACATTTTATTCTTCAGTTCCCATCCAATTTCTTTCTTTTTCTTTCTTTTTTTTTGAGACTCCATACAGTTCCCAGGAACCAATCTTTTGTGCTATATAGCTTTCTTCTCATTTTCAGATTGACTTCTAAAATGTTGGGGTAATGTTGGTGTGTAGATCAAAGGATGGGCCACAGGAGATGAGAGGAGATAGAAAACTTTACCTTTAAAAAAAAGAAGCCACAATGACATTCAAAGAATTGAGTCAATTACAATCACATTTTTGGAAGGAATGAATTCTGAACTTCATAACATTAATTTCAGTGAATGTAGTGAAGGTTAATTTCACTGTCTCTTTTATGAACTATTTTTGTAAAATAGGCCATATGAGTGGCTTATTTCACAGGCTTGTTATGTGGCTATTTTGTTTTGATAAAGATATGGGAAAGTATTCATTACTGATACTTTCCCTAAATAGCAATTCTGCCTTATTTATTTAACTTTTTTCTAGATAACTCCCCACAATATATCTTTGAGATTGCATTTAGTTATCATTATAAATATATGAAAATAATAACTCTGTTAGATACATATTAATTTTGTGCTAGATATGAATCAATGACTTTCTAGAATCAAATAGCACTGTATATAATTATTAGTTTAAGCCTGAATTTGCATACACTTGGTGCTTTATTTTTATTAGCTGATAATCATTATTTTGCTATATTACATTATATTACATTGTTTTCATAATAGTGGCGTTGAAAATGAGCTTAAAGGCCTTTTAATTATGGTTTAATAGATTATACATATACAGCCATAGATATAGCTTAAAATGCTATTGTGCTCACATATTTATCGTCTATTCTTTCTATTACTTGAATATCCTTAGTATCCAAGAATACTTCCTATAATAACACCCCGTTTTGGACTATCTTGTACAGAGGAATTACTTAGTAGCCTTGGTAACCTGGCAGAGACTCATGATATTCATATACAGGTAAACCTTTTGCTATTGTATTTACTAAAATGTTATTCACCCAGCAGTTTTCAGAGTACTGGTTCTCTCACTCTAAAGTTAAATTGTGACTCTCTTCTTTCTATAATCTGCCCTATATAATCTCCAAAACCATCAATCATAACTTCATTTTTTACAGAAAACGTCCACAAGGGTTTTCCAGTCACCAGTAAATATACATACACTCTTTTCTCTATTTAAACAAGTCAGTGAATTCCATCATTTTCACCAACCATGGTTCTGTTGTAGGCATTGCCGAATCTTTCCATTTTTATGTATTCAATATTCTTGTTTACAGTTGTCATATATTAAAAACAATGTTCCATGACTTTTTTTCCAATTGCTTATCCATCAGTCCCAAAAGTTCTGGTTTCAGTTGAATTTATCCTCTGAATATCTGTGTGTATTTGAACTCCAAATTTTCTAGCTTTTTTGCATGTCCACCAAGCATAAAAAAAAATGACCCTTCTTGTAGTTCATATTTCTAACATAAATTTGAAGTACTTTTATACATTCTAGATAGCTTTTCTGGTATCTTATACCAAGAGTACATCATTTTATAAAAATTCTCTTTAGGATTGTAACATAGTGTAAATTTCAGCCCTTTCAACCACACATTTTTCCATTGTCCTCATTGTAAATTTTAATAATTTTTATACACCTTATCATACATTTCTGTATTTATCCTTTCAATAAAATTTTAGGAATCAGTTCATTTGTATGCAAATCTCTTTCAAATCAGTCTTAAAATGTTCAGTGTTGTAAGCTGCCCAGAGTCGAGATGGGGGAATAAATTTTATAAATAAATAAACAAATAAATAAATAAATACTATAAATTATCATTATTAACTTTAAATTTTTTGAATTGCTCGAAATAAGGAAACCATTGTCACGTGTATCCCTCTGCCATCCGTTCTGTTGATTTTATTTTATATACCACTGGACAAAATTCTGTTATCTCAGGTTAAGTTAGCCATTTGTGTTTGCCATTTATTTCTTGTCTATTACAAGTAGTCCTTAACTTACAACCATAATGGAGCCTGCCCACATGATTGCCTCGCATAATGACCCCCATTCTTGATGCAGTCATTAAGTGACTGCATGGATTGTTAAGTGAAGCACAGGGTGCCTCAGAGTTGTGGAAGGCCTAGGCAGGCCCAGGCCTGCCTGCCCTGGGCCTACACTAGGCCTCTCCCACCCCAAGGCACCCCTATCCTCAGCTTCCTTGCGGTCCCAGGAGGCTATAGGCCTGCTTCTCACCCCGCTGGGTCCCTCTCACTCCTCCCTGTCACTCATTTACATTTTAGTCAGAGGTGGGTTTCAGCAGGTTCTGACCAGTTCTGGAGAACCAGTAGCGGAAATTTTGAATAGTTCGGAGAACCGGTAGTAAAAATTCTGACTGGCCCCACCCCCATCTATTCTCTGCCTCCTGAGTCCTAGCTGATCGGGAGGAAATGGGGATTTTGCAATAACCTTCCCCTGGAGTGGGGAGGGAATGGAGATTTTACAGTATCCTTCCCCTGCCACACCCACCATGTCACGTCCACCAAGCCACGCCCACGGAACTGGTAGTAAAAAATTTTTGAAACCCACCAGTGATTTTAGTTCTTCTTCTGGAAGCTCCAGTGATCACATTGGGGAAGGAGAGCAGACTGCTCTGCCCCTCGACTTTCCTGCCTGTCTCTGTCCCGGAAGCGGGTTGTCTTTTTGGGAGAATCACACAGAAAGATCTTGCCACAGTTTTCTTGTAATTTTATTATACATATTACTACCTATGTTAAAGTCAGTGGCATGAATCTATTTAGATGCAGTATTTGAATACCATTATGTCTGTAAACTGGTCTTGAGATCAGAACAGAAAACTATTCTAGATAATTTGAGAAGACAATTTTGATGCTAGATACCATTGTGTTGGTCCTTTTCCTTGTTTTTCCATTAGCCTATCTTTTAGGTAGAATATGACTGTTTCAAAAGCACTCTGATGAGTCAATCTGCCTCTGACATTCCCTTTGAGAAAAACAAATCACACTCAGGAGCTTAGGACTGATGAATTGCTATTATGTTGACATTTAACTTCTGGAAAATGGGAGTTCATTACTATTAGATTGTGATTCATATTGCTTTTAAATTTGTACAGTTATACTTCGTTGGGTTGGGTGAGCTGGAAATGGAATTATTTATTTTTATTTCCTGCCTTTATTACTTTTTTATAAATAAGTCAATGCGGCAATAAGTCCTTCCTCCTCCTGTTCTCCCCACAACAACATCCCTGTGAGGTGAGTGGGGCTAAGAGAGTGAGATTGTCACACAGGTCACACAGTTGGTTTGCTTGCCTAGGGTGGGACTACAACTCCCAGTCTCCTGGCTTCTACCTTGATAACCAACCACTAAGCCAAAGTGGTTCTTTAATTATTGTTAATTAATTAATAATTCTTTTCTTTCATGCAACAAAACATGAGAGAACTTCAAAGACACAATTCAATGTTCACTTTGTGGTTCTTTGAGAAAAAGATAGTCTAGTCCCGTGATGGCGAACCTATGGCACGCATGCCAGAGGTGGCACGCAGCACTCTCTTTGTGGGCACGTGGGCCGTCGCCCCAGCTCAGCTTCACCGCACATGTGCACGCGCCTGCCGCCGGCCAGCTGGTCTTCAGGTCTCTACATGCATGTGAGGGGGACCAGGGCGCCTGCAGGGGGCAGGTGCATGCGCGGGGGCCAGGGCGCATGCAGGGGGCCCACGTATGCATGCAAGGGGGGTGGGGGGCATGCCTGGGGCACACATACACGGGGGAGAGATGCATTGCATTTTGGGGGGTCGTGCGCATGCTTTGGGCACTCAGTCTGGAAAAGGTTAGCCATCATTGGTCTAGTCTATGAAATAACAGCTCATTATTAATGTGAAGAAAATGTGGGGATTCTTTGCTCTCCAAGGATTGGACACACCACAACATAGCAAATCTATACAGAATTCTTTATTACAATACACACCTTCCCCAACAACAAGCTCTTGCTCTGTATTGTCACTCCACCCTTTTAGGATCTTGAAAGGTGATGTTGCCACATGAATGTTTTTAATGCTCAGACCTTTATACTCAATCTTTTAATACTCAGTCCAAGCAAAAGTCTCAAAGTCTTTAAAGTAACACACAATCTTTTTGTGTTTTCCTAGACATTCTTATTCTAGTTGGGATGAGTTGCTATTTCAGTGTGGTTGTTCCTAATCTAATAATTGCTCCTTCCAGGTAAAGGCCCAGTAAGGACTCCTATCAGGATATGCTGCTCACTATAGCTTGTGATGCTGGCAGTTGAGTGAAAGTCCTCTTGTCTGCTTGTAATAGCTGCCAATTGTCTGCCAATTTGCAGACGTCGTCTTCACTTCCTCATCTTTAGGCCGTTTACTTTTACCTTTCCCGGTATACACACACACTTTCCCAGTGGTGTGATTCAAATAATTTAACAACTGGTTCTCTGCCCTAATGATTTCTTCCAACAACCAGTTCACCAAACTTCTCAGAAAGTTAACAAATGGTTCTCCCGAAGTGGTGCGAACTGGCTGAATCCCACCACTGCCCTTTCCCCATTTAATAACTATAGCATTTGCTTTTAATAATCTCAAATAGCTGGTGGGGTGAGGTTGACTTTGGGTCTCTGGACCTTGAAAACACTAAGGTGTGGCTCAATTGTCGGACATTAAGCAGGTCAACATTTGACCAGACCCAATTTTATGACATCTTTGCACCAATCATTAAGCAAATGCCATAGTTATTAAATGAATGCTGTAGTCATTAAATGAACAGGGTGGTGGTTAAGTGAATCCACTGTAGTCACTGGGCTTTTTTGCCAGAAATCAAAAGTAAAAGCTGGTTTCTTACAAAGAAACAAACAAACAAAATCATAAATCATGGTCATGTGACTACAGGACCATGCAAACAGCCTTAAAAGCACCCAAAATGTGATCATGTGACTGCAGTAGGTTAGTGGCTATAGGAATTTCAAAACTAAATCATAAGCTATTCTTGAAGAGCATTCGAAAGCTACAGCAGGTGCAGAATGCAGGCAGTTCTTAAGGCCCCGAGGGTGGCTCATGTTACACCACCGTTTTGTGAGCTGCACTGGTTCCCAATCTGCTTCCAGGTGCATTCAAGGTGTTGGGCATCACCTTTGAAGCCCTGCATGGCATGAGTCTAGTTTATCTGAGGAACTGCCTCATCCTGATGGGATTGACCTGCCTCACTCGTGTTGGCAGAAGGGGCATACTGCAGATCCTATTAGCCAAGGAATTTCAGCTGGCAGAATCCTAGACTTCTCTGCTGTGGATCCTATCCTCTGGAACATCTTACTGCCTAAAATGAGATTGGTTCCCACCCTTCTGAAAGAACCTCAAAACCTGGCTGTACCAGATGGCTTGGTGACCCAGTGGGGGAGTTCCATATTGGAGGTGGTGGATTAATTAAAATTCAATGTTCCCCTCTCCCCTCCATGTGTCTGGCTCCCTTCTTTGCCATCTTTTTTCCTTGATTTTATCTATTAATGTTTTTATCTGCTGTGTTTTTATAATGGATGATTGTATGGTTTTTCAATGTTTATATTGTAAGTTGTTGGATATAAGATGGACGGCAAATAAATTTTATAAACAAACAAACAAACAAACAAACAAATAAATTCTGGGGAGATCTGTTATAAGTTGAGAACTACCTGTACTCAATCAAAACAATGCATTCTATCCTAAAACAAACAAACAAAGAAACAAAGAAACAAACAAACAAACAACCCAGATAGACTATTGGAACAGTGCAATTATGTTTTATTAATGAAATATTTTTACTTGACAGGAATCCTTGCATTTTTAAATAGCTATCATGTTTTACTCAACACGAGGCAAGAATTTGCCACACTGAAAATATGTAAAGTAGCTAAGTAAGAAACAGATATGAAATCAACGGATAAAGGGGGCTATTGCTATGATGGCGACTGGACTATATAGGTTGTTGTTATGATCCTGCACTGCTCTTATATCCCTTAAATCACAAATCACTGCATTTCAACATCCATTTGTTTCAGTCTTTAATTACAATGTATAGTCTTTTTTTCTTTGTAAAGTATGATTCATGAATTTCAACCGTTGCTTTCCTAAATCATCAGGTACTGTAAAATAAAATGACTTCCTGCTGACCTAGTTCAACTTTGTTTTCCAGGATTAAGTTAGATCATAAATATTGGTGTGTGCCAATTGAAAATTACGTGAAAGAAATATTTTAAAACTTGAATAAACACAGCACTATTCTGCTATGCACTGAAGCAGCCCAACATTACTCAGGCTTCTTCTATGCTGTCTATAATAGCTGTCTCTTTAAAATACTGTTCTCGGCTATGAAGGGATTCCATCAGCTCTTTCTTCATATTAAACATCTAAAATTCAATATTCCAACTTTTCAAAATGTGGTCTAGATTAAGCAGCTTTGCTTCATACGATGCTCCCGCGGTTCTTTATATCATTAATATTTGTAAGGATTTTAAAATCTGTTAAAGCAAAATGTTTCTCTTCTATTTTTAATTTTTTTGCATCGTTTGTCTAAAAAGCTTCTCAAATAATAATTTAATTTATCATATAACTACCAATAGTACATGACATGATATGAATTTTATAAATATTGTTTTCATTAAAAATGTAGATTTGTATTGAATAGCTTCAATAGCTTGCATGTATGAAGACATTCATATTATTCTTTCAAGGTGTGAAATTATGTGAAATACTGACCACTGTCTCTGTGTTTCTCCCATCATCTTACAGAGCCACATAAGTGAGTCTAAAGGGGAGCTCAGACTTATAGAAAGCACGTTTCCACACTATCAACATTATACAGAGCTATATGATAAAAACAAGCTGCTTACAAACAAGGTTGGTTATTTGTATCAATCGTGAAGATATTTTGAGTAATGCTGCTTTTGGAGTTACAAGTGTTGAGTTACTGCTGAAGTAGAATCAGTGTTGAACAAGCCAACAAAATGGGCATTGTTCAGTTTTATGTGTTGTGATCTTTCTTTATCTCATCAATTTTATAAAGCTCTTAAAACTTGTGGATAAATTATTTATGTTAGAAAAACAATTAAAAAAACAATGTTTATTTCAAGAAGCTATTTATCATTCAGCTCTGGGTTGCATACTGTAAGTTCAGATCATTACTAGGTAGTGGCAAAGGGATACAGAAAGTTCTATCCCTTTGGCAGTTGGCTGAACATATAAAATATATTGTTCTGTTCTTTGTCTGTATTTAGTTCATTTATGCTTACCTGGCAAGACAGATAATTGGGTACCTCACAAAATTTTAAAATGTTTTATATATATCAGCTACCATTTACAAAAATGCATTTCAAATACATACTATGCTACTTTTTGAATATTTTTTTTTAAAAAAATAATGGATGCCCTTTCCTTTTTTTTAAACCTTCCTATATTTTTTCCTTGTAATCCAACCTTGTTCTATTACGTTAAGCTCACAACTTTAAAGTTCTAACTGCTCCCGGTTTTCACATGCTATTATAAGAATTGCATGAAAATTCCACATTCCGCATGAATAGCACATTCATGTTTATCTACTCAGAAGGAACTCCCACTAAGCTCATTGCATATTGCTACCATAGAAGTAAGCAGTGGTTGTCAAGGGTTATACCGTGAGCCTATTAAGATGAATGTTTATTTACTTTATCTGCAAATGTGAACATCTGAAAGAACAGTATTAAATATAAGCATCTAATTAGTAACCCCAAATGGGTGCCACTTTAATTGCCTTTCAGTAAGGAATTGGAAGACCGAAATTTTTACTAAAAATGTTGAGCAGTATGTGATGCCTTACAGGTTATTGCTGTAGTAATTTTCACAATAGATCCTAAAATTGTTATTTTAAAACCTGAATTGTCAAAATGAAATAATTCAAATAAGTAAAGGTAATATTACTGTATTTACTTTTAGACTATAATGGCTCATGGCTGCTATCTTTCTGATGAAGAACTGGACATATTTAAACGTAGAGGAGCCGCCATTATACATTGTCCTAATTCAAATATATCGTGAGTAACATAGTGTCACAAAGTAATAACACTTTCAAGGAATGAGTTTCTGTTCAATCTTTCCCAATTCGGTGCTCTTGGGCTACATATTGAATTATTCTCACACTCCTAAATAACGAATATAAAAATGGAAAGCACAAATTTGTGATAAGTTGCTTTAAAAAATGTCAGTGATGAGTTAAATCACAGGTGTCCAACCTTTTGGTGATGAAGAATTGCCTTGGCCCACATATAAAATATATAAACATAATTAATGTATATAAATGACATAATAATATTAAAAGTTTACAATCTTATGGGACCGCATTACTAGATGTCCAGGGCAAATGTCCAGGGCGCATCTGGATTAAATATTGGAAGCATTTGATTGTCAAATTTTTCAGATATGAATCTTGGATGTCTTAAAGTGAGACAGGGAACCTAAAATGTACTCATCAATTCCATAAAATACATTCTGGTTATTTCCAATGGTTGATCCATTCAACCTTCTTTCACATATTTATAATATCAGAAAAATCCAATTTATATGCTTGGATTTTATTGATTTTATGCCCAAGATTAAATACCAGGATTATAGACATTTCAGAAATATCTTTTTTTAAAAAAATCATAGGACCCCAGCATTTATCTTCTGTTCATTAAAGCTACCATGCCTTTTTTTCCCAGGCTTATGTGGGAGTCTGAATGTCTTTAATTTAAGGGATCTGGTAATTAAAATTAATGTGATTCTTAAAGCAGCCACATCTTTTTTCCAGGTCACACAGAAGCATGAAAATATTTTAATGAACAGTATTGAGGTAGTATGTTCTCATTAGGTTTGCAAACTGAATCTTTTTGATTCAGCTGTATTAAATATAGCATAGCTTAATTAAAGTGGAATATGTTCATAGCAATAACACTTATGAAGTTATACTTAAAGCAAGTCCTGTTTTACATCTTGTTCTAGCACTTTGTGAACAGCTTTTAATGCATCAACACATCTGCTACAACCTTTTTTTTTTAACTTAGAAAAATGATATCCTTTCATTCTTCTATTTTCAATCTAGATTAAAGAGTGGCCTTTTAAACACAAGGAAGATTCTGAACCACAATGTAAAACTTGGATTAGGCACAGGTTAGTCATTTATTATGTGTTTACTTTCAGGTACTTTTTTAAAAGATTAAAAAAGAAATGGGTCACATACATAAACCCACAAGGCATATGAAATGCAGATAATCCTTGCTTACTCACTCAGTGACCATTTGAAATTACCAGTATTCAAACTTATTTAAAAAGATATATCAATAGGAATGTGAAATATTCCATGAATAAAATGGAATTATATAAATAAAATGGAACTTTTTCTGACAGCTGCTTGGGAAAGTGTTATAACTGTCTTATAAAAATATCTTTACAGTAAACATTTTATATGCTTATATAACCTCCCAAAGTCACTTGATTGTGAGATGGCAGCTGTATAAATATGATGAATAAATAAAACATAATAAACCAAGCAGTTGCAACCATCTACAGGTCCCTCCAACCACTGCCTGATTATCAAATATTTATAAACATCAGGCCCATCATCTCAGATATTGACGCTGGATCTGTTTATCACTTGCCTGTTTGCCATCCATTGAGGAACAGCTGAGGTATAGAATCTTGGCTTTATCCTTGAGATTACAGCTTTAGCAGTACCACTGTCCATCCTGAACTGGAATGGCCTGTGGCAAGAATGCTCAACTTCTGTCACCTTATTAGTACCACCAGGCCTGCCCATCCAAATTTTTTTACTACAGGTTCTGGGGGCATGGTTTGGTGGGTGTGGTGTGGGTTGGTGGGCATGGCTTGGTGGGCGTGGCAGGAGAAGGATACTGCAAAATATCCATTCCCACCCGGCTCCAGGGGAAGGATACTGCAAAATCTCCATTCCCACCAGGGGTAGGTTCTACTTACCTTTACTACCAGTTTGAAATGGGACAGCGCGCGTGTGTGTGTGTGCTTCAGCGCATGCGCAAAAGCTTCCTGATCATGTCTGGGTCGGTGGGTAGAGCCTCCCACCGGTTTTACTACCAGTTCTTGTGAACCGGTCTGAACCGGGGGCAACCCACCACTGATTCCCACCCCACTCCAGGGGAAGAATATTGCAAAATCTCCATTCCCACCCCACTCTGGGGCCAGCCAGAGGTGGTATTTGCCGGTTCTCTGAACTAGTCAAAATTTCCACTATCGGTTCTCTGAACTGCTCAAAATTTCTGCTACCGGTTCTACAGAACCTGTCAGAACCTGCTGGATTTCACCCCTGGGCCTGCCCCTCACAAATGGATGGAGGCTGGGCTTTTTGGGGGGAGGAGATTCAGGAGGTGAAATGGGTGGCTTGAAAACTCTTTTGTTTCTGAACTCTTCACTGCAAAACAGGGAGAAAACTTTTTGTCTCACGATTTAAGCTTTGGGACCCCCAGATATATGCTGGCAAGCTATATCTGATCTTTGGCAACACTTTTTGCACCTCTGACCTAGAGCATGGACATCCTCCTGTACATAGTGAATTCCTGGAAGATACTTTTAAATTGCCAGCATGATAAAAAGCCTGGATGAGATCATACCTATATTGTAATCATAAGCATCTGCCTGCATATTTAATGAAACTCCTGTTTCCATCTAACGCATAAGCCTTCCAGATTGATTGTAATGTCCTCTATTGTTAGATGTTGCTGGTGGCTATTCTGTTTCCATGCTTGATGCTATCAGAAATACGATTGTGGTATCTGAAGTCCTTCATCTTAATAGTGAAACAGATGAAAAAGGCTTAACTCTGAAGGAGGCATTCCGACTAGCAACTCTTGCAGGAAGTCAAGGTAATTCTCTTCTTTTTAACTGTCTATCCCCAAAACACAGAAATTACATGTGATATGTAGCCTGGCTTGGAATAAACTTTCCATTTTAATGTTAGCATATCTTACATCCTAATCACTTCATTATACTGACCAAATGCACTGAGTATGTGTAACCATAGTTTTCTCACTCATGGTTTGTGAAAAAAAGAAAGAAAGAAAGAAACAGTTCAGACATCATATAAGACAAGATTAAAAATACTAAATCTCTATAGCTTAATATGACATCGTTAACAAAACTGCTAAAATATGTGTATGCCCATGTGGTGTAGTAGATACAGTGCCAAATGAGGACCAAGATGCTCTACTCAGTACTACTTTTTACTCTGAAGATCCAGTGGATGATTTTGGATCATTTGCTATTTCTCCTTCTCACATAACTCACATGAGTATTTTGTGTGGAAGATTGGAGATGATCTAACACTGATCCAATATGCTATGAAATAAGGGAGAATATAAATCTATATGAATGAACAAATAGGATTCTCATTTGTTGAGCTCTATAAATAAATTTAAAATGTTTAAAATATTTGAATGATGTTTTCACAGACTACAAGCATTTAACACTTTATTTTTCTTTCTTCTATGGCTGGGATTCAAATTTGTTCCCCTGAAGCTCCTTTTCCTGGTTTGAAATATATAATTTTATGGTCTAAATATCCATAAATTTACTTTGATCCTCTTCTGCTTCTCTTATTAAACTTTGACAGGCATGTGGCTATTGATATTCTACTGCCCCCTGCTGTTTAATATGGAAACTATATTAAAGAGGATTAGGAAAAGCACCCTAGAAAGACACTAAAATTTAGTATTTCAAAAACAGTACTCCTCAGAATTGATGTTGGATCAATTCCATGCTGAATGTTCATCCTTCTTTTGATCATCAAATTTTATTTTATTTTAAAGAATTTGATACATTTTCTCCTCCTCTGTTATTTAGATTAGAATTATAGTCATAACAAAACTGCAATGAAGAACACAAATATAACCTTTGTAAATATATTGTTGGGTCCTTTCTATTGATTTCAAAAATCATCACTTGTAATGTACTTAATTTCATGGTGCATAATAAAGAGATTTTTTTAAAAAATTTACAGCTTTGGGATTAGATCGTATAATTGGAAACTTTGAAGTTGGCAAGGAATTTGATGCACTACTTATCAACGCCAAAGCTTCAGATAGTCCTTTTGATCTATTTGCTTCTGACCATATTGAGGTAATCAAATACTGCATAACTGAAGTACGTTGCATATGTATGGAGGGATCCACATATGATGGAATGTCTAGCAGATCCTGGGAATAGGTAGGAAGGAAACAAATGCAAGAGAGACCCCTCAGCCATGCAGATGGAAAGGACCATGAGAAAGAGACTCAGAGTAACTATATCTTAAAGTATAAATTGATCTAAGTGGTGTTTTTCAATCTTAGCAACTTTATGATGGGTGGACTTCAACTCCCAGAATTCTCCAGCCAGGATTTGAAGTCTACCTATCTTAAAGTTGCCAAGGTTGAGAAACACTGATCTAGAGAATTCCTTCAACAGTTTTTTAAGGTTATGCACTTTACCCCACTGGCAGTATAGACCATCTCAGAAATAATTCTTGTTCTTGAGTCTACCTGCCTCACAAGTATCACTCAAGCCAATGAGCTTTCTGGTTGTTTCATAAAAGCATAAGAATTTTGTTTGATCAGGCAACAATCCATCTATTCAGCATCCTCTGTCACACAGCAATCAAACAATTGTAATAGGAAGCTCATAAACATGAAGAAGATAGTGATATTTCTTTTGCATTATTACTTTCTAGAAGCTGATATCTATGGCATGCATTCCAGTGGTTTAGGAGGTAGTTAATTAAGACTAGTGCTTAACTAACAGCAGAATTTTCCATAAATGTATCTAATCTCCTTTTAAAAATCACCTAAATTAAGGGCAATCATTGCAGTAGCTCATAACTAATTCCATAATGTACCTTTGGAAAGGTAAACAAAGTAGCTCCTTTTACTGGCCCTCCTCCCCCATTTACTTTGAATGAATAGTTCCAAGTTCTAACATTGTGAAAGAAAAAGAAATCTTGGTCTATATTTTTCACACCATCCAGGATTTTATTATCTCTATCTTACCTCTTTTTACTGCTATTTGGTCCAAGTTAAAGCACTAGAAAAGCTGCAAATTTTCCTTACAAGTCAATCATTTTAGATCCTGTTTTTGCATGTTTTCCAGATCTACAATATATTTGGGGGATGTGTGATAGATTTTATGTCAGAGCTCTTGTATTCTTTTGATACAAAACAATTGGCATCACAATTTTTCATTACTTTCCTAATGATTGCTAGCATGAAATTTGTTTTGTTTCTTTTTTTAAATAGTACCCTGTTCCCCTAAAATAAGACATCCCCTGATAATAAGCCCAGTCGGGTTTTTGAGCCCGAGAGCTAAAATAATCCACCCCCCAAAAAATAAGCCCTCCCCGAAAATATTTAAATGCAGAGCTGGAAATCAGGTAAGACGGCAAGAGGAGCCCCATCTTGCTCCAGGCACCCCAAAATAATCAGACCTCCCCGAAAATAAGGCCAAGCGCTTATTTTGGGGTTCAAAAAAATATAAGACGGTCTTATTTTCGGGGAAACACGGTAGCAACCTACTGGATTGATTTTTTCACTTTCCTGTTAATTTTGACTCTATAGTAACTTTTTCTTTATCAGTTGCAGTCAGCTCAAATTATATTAATATGTTTGTTTTAGAAGAAACATGGACCATTTTCCATTATTTGATTTCACAGCATTTGCTACTTAAAAGCCAATTCATTCATTTGGAAAAGCACTGTTGGAATTTCTTATTGAAAACTTACTGCAATTTCTTACTGAGATTAGTACTCTTAAACTTGGACTCATAGATAAAATGTGTTGCATCTCTAGTCCTGGTAATTTCACACCATTTATTACCAAGTTAAAAAGTGCCAATTCTGATGTTGATCCTTGGTGATCCTATTTTGCATGTCTCTAATACAGTCTCTAATTATATGTTGATTCCAGTTTATTTATTTATTTATTGGTTCGATTTATATGCCGCCCTTTTCCGGAGACTCAGGGCGGCTTACAATGCATTAAGCAATAGCCTTCATATTTTTGTATATACCTGCTTAGTAGGGCTTTCGGGGCCCCCTAAGCGGTGTTCTTTTTTATACAAAGTCAGCTTATTGCCCCCACAAACCGGGTCCTCATTGTACCTACCTCGAAAGGATGGAAGGCTGAGTCAACCTTGAGCCTGGTGAGATTTGAACTTGCAGTAATTGCAGGCAGCTGGTGTTACTTAACAGTGCTTTAGTCTGCTGCGCCACCAAGGCTCTTATAGTTCTCTGTTTCCTATTCTTATCTTGTGATCATGAACTCACAATTGGAATTGTTTGCTTAAAAATTTTGAGGGTTTATGAAACTCCAAGTATACAATATTTGTGAGATCACTCCTATCTCTTAAAAGTTTAGGTAGGTTGATGCTGAATTTATATTAAAATATTTGGAGATGCTTGTAATCTTTTTCCGCACAAGTCATAAATGCATATTTTTAAAAAACCTTGATTTATGAGAAAAAAATTAATTCTAATAGACATGCTGAAGTGGAATTGAGGAAACCCAAATTTGACTCCATTTGACCAAACAGCTCACTTGCCAGTCCATTTTTCATAACCAGCAGTGTATTGGGTAGTATTTTTGTGAACTTAAAAAAACCCTAACCCTAACAGTTAATTTATTAAATAAACAATCTCAGAAGATTCCTAGAAAAATTGCAACAATTAAACTGAATCAATATCAGTTCACTTCATGGAACAGGTCTTTTGATGGGGCCCATCACTCTGAAAATTCCAAGATTCCGTTCAAAGAAAGGAATAGGACACCCCGACAATGTAAACAAAAATATAAAATGAAAGAAATGAAAATATTTATTGAAAAATAATTTGCATCAGAAGAAATTTTATTCTAGTTCTTCAATATTTTACAATGCTGGGTATTCTTGGATTCATACTGTATTTGAGTTTTTCTTTTTGTGACAGTATGTTTGTTTAATTTTACAAATTATTAATGTTTTATTATCTACTTTTACAATAAAAAAGAACTACATTTTGAATATTTCCCTTTTCACCCCACAGGATATAATTGAAAAATTCCTGTATCTTGGTAGGTATACCAGTTATAATTTATACAGATAGTTTCATATGATTCTTCTTCTATTTTTATTAATGTATTCTCCTTTACTCTTAAAAAATTCTTAAAATATCAGTGTGTGTGTGTATGTTTAATACTTATTAGCTTTATAGTATAATGAAATGTTATCATTCACACTGAGCATTAATTCTTCCTTTATAGAAGTGTTTTTTAAATCACTTGTAAAAAAGATGATTTCTGTGCAGTACAAAATGCTGGGACAAGATGAATTTACAGATTCAAGACAACTTATTTTGACTTATATTTTCTTTGTATTCTTGGCATATTGTGTTTGATACATATTGCCATTGATCCCTTAAAGTTGAAAGGATTATTATAGATGATTCTCATTGATGTCTTCTTGTACAAATCACCTTTTTTGTATATATTGCCTTTGAACTGAATCCAGTATGTCTTCTAATCCTTTTAATGTATTCAGAGCAGCTTTCCCCAAACTGGTGTCTTTTAGCCTTGTTGCAGTCAACATGGGAATTCTTGTAATGGTTAACCCAAGTTTAACAGAATCAAAATCATTATAAAATAATCATATCCACATCTATAATATTTCCCAAAAGAATTTGGATGTAATTTATTCCAAAGTATAGCACTATGGTGATATTTCCTGCCATTATGAGAGTCCCTGCGATTATGTCTATGATTTTTCTGGTTTATCTATGCAGCAACATAGTTAGGAGATGATAAGATTGCTTGTATGATTTCAGAATTCTTTATGTGAACTGACTCTAGATATGAACTGTGCATGATGGCACCAAACTATATCTTTAACTGTAAAATCTTACTTCTGATGTGAGGACTCACTGGGGGGGGGGGGGGAGAAACAATGGAACAGACTTCTGGGTAAAAGCAGATGGTCAGGGAATATTTAATTCTGGGTATCCTTCAGTACTTCAAATCCCACTCCATGACCTTCATTAAAAATCACTGGGACAGAATTGTATCTGAAGAATCTGCTACAAATATATACTCTGGAACTTAATCATGACTATGGGTAATTTTCAATTTTATTGTAACTTATTCACATTATTTAGAAGCTGTCCAACTCCAAGCAACCCTGGGTGGCTTACATCTTAAAAAGCAGGAACAATGAAAACAAATAAATAAAAAACAGATCATAGATATCCAGCAGAGAAAATATAATCAAAGTCAAGTTTTTGGAAGAATGTGAACTATGCATGTTTATAAACAAAATTCACAATTATATAGAAGTTAATAGTAATGGAAGCATACTTTAAGGAAATAATCTCATTCATCTTTATATTTTCAGGTGATGACAGAAATATCGAGGGGGTGTACGTGGCTGGCAAACTGGTGGTTCCATTTTCAAGCTCTGTGTAAATTGGATTCCCATTCTGAAAAATGCTCAACTAGTTATCGTTTGGTTTGGAAGAACTGGGTAGAAATGCAGTGCCTTGTTGTTATGCTGATTTTATTTAGTATGTTTCTGATATGCAGAAGAAAGATTGTCAACTTGGCAGTGACAAAAAAAAAAAAATATGCCAAAAAATCTATCTCGTTTGAGCAGGACAGGAAGCAGCCCGAATTTTTAAAACAAAGTGAACTTGCAATTGGAATAAATCTTTCCACCTACACCTTAATAAAAATATCCAGAGATGGGTGCAGAATGTATTTCCTCTCTTCAAATATGAAAACCGAAATCCTAAAAATGCATCTGATGAGAATTTAGGGATCTTATTTGTGAATATATTACAATTACTCTCATTGACTTAGAAACAAAACACACTGTTTTGGGTGGTGTCCATTTTCTATAACTTTCCTCCTTAAATAGACTTCATGTGATCTTGGCAGGGTTTCCCAATCAGGAATTGAAAAATCTGTTTCCTTTTCTCTCTACTGGGGAGTGACATGTCTCCTGAAACTTTTACCTTTATATTTGTCCATCTAGAGCCGCGATGGCGAACCTATAGCATGCGTGCCAAGGTGGCATGTAGTGCCCTCTCTGTGGGCACGCAAGCTGCCATCCCAGTTCAGCTCCACCGTGCATGTGCACCGTCTCCTGCCAGCCAGCTGGTCTTCGGGTCTCTGCCATGTATGCATGGGAGGCAGGGTGTGTGCAGGGACACCAGCGCATGCATGGGGGGGCAGGTGCATGCTCTGGGGCCACGTGCATTGCATTTTGGGGGTTCGGGCACGTGCATGTGCATTCACACACGCACACACTTTGGGCACTCAGTCCAGAAAAGGTTCGCCATCACTGATCTAGAGTGCAGATTGCTTAACAGCAAATATGGCATGATGAATGAGGATATAAAAAGAAGAGAGTCAGATCCCATGTTCACAGTTTATGTCATCCAGGATGGCTTTGTTCACACATAATGCAAAGCTGTAATGTGGTTAATTTAAATTTGGATTAATATGATGGATTCATTATGGATGCATTTCAAGTGAGAAAAAGGCCCTTTTTAGTATGAGGATAAGGCTGTAGCCTTGATACTTTACTGATATGGGTCAATTGGGTGCAATCTAATTGGAAGTGTTTGTTCAAATTGTAAATTCATTCTTACCCTACAGTTCAAAGCAATCTTGACAATCAAATCAATATGGAAAAGGGGGCTTTTGCTTTAGAATATGATCTCTGAGTTTAATATTTGTATAACTGCTCTATTTTCTCTGATAAAGTATATAAAGTACATGGGATAAATACTCAGAAAATACAAACAATAAAACTATTTTTTTTTAATCTTGCAACCCAGAGATGGCAGGTATAAGTACGATAGGTTTGCACAAAACACCTTTGGAGGAATGTGTGCCTTTTAGGATCATTATTGGTTTTTTAGTTTTGGGGAGGATAATTTTAGAATTCTATTATGCAGCGGTTGCCTCTGAGAGATTCTCAGTAGGAAATAAACTTTTGTTGATAATTGTATAAATAAAATAGAACACTTTTTAAAGGGATTTGTCTCTAAACGTTTGGAAAGCCTGTTGAAAACTGTCAACCATCTCCCAGCACACACAACGCCTTCTTCATCCGCCTTTGTTCCCTCCCAGCATGAAGTTTAGCTGAAAAGGTTGGGCAGCCAGAAAAAGAGCCTTGGAAATTTACTTGGGGGAAAAGAGAAGCCTAAATGTCTGTTTTGTGAAAAAGAAGCATTTTGAATTTGTGAAAAAGAAGCATTTCCGTCTTACTGTACCATTTATTAACCTTCTGTTTGAAGATATTAATGAGAGCGAATATAATTTGTGCTTTGTGGAGTTAGTTGAATGATTTTGGTGTGGCAGTTGGATTTCAGCCATATAAAATGTTGACTTAGCTTTAATATGCACGCTTTACAATATTTGCAAAACAGAAGGCTAGGGGAACTCAGGAAAGGAACTGCACTTTATTCACTTATCTATTTTATTTTACTTTTTCAAATATAGTAAGTCTGTACATTTTTTTTTTTTGCACAAGAAAGGAAGAAAAAATGGTCCAACCTCTGCATTTATGCCAAAAAATAAACTTTTATTCCTGCTGATAAAAATAATAAGTCAAATATGCATTGGAAGTCAAGGAAGGAGAACTATAATATTTCACAAAACTATATTTGTTGCACTAAGAAGTTTTATAGTTTTATAGACAAAGTTTATGAGTATCAGTATGTTAGTGAACTCAGCTGGCCATGAAATATGATGATTAAACCATGGCTTAACATGATCTGTTCACCTATTACAGGCCTCATTCATAAGATATGCTAAAAATTGTCTTTATATTATTTTAATATATACTATAGACTATATAATATATACTGTATTAATAAGAGTATATTATTTGATTATATTAAACTAAAATATATACATATGTGTTGACAAAGTCATATAAAATTGAAATGAAGGAATAAAGAAAAGAGGAAAAAGCTTGGGAAATTAAACAATAAACAAAGTATTTAAGACAGAACAAAACTTTCAAGTCCTCTTATATATAAATTCATTTTTTCCAACAAACCAAATAAATGATAGATTAGCATCACCTACAAGCCCAATTGCCCAGTTAGATGGACTTTGCTCTTGATGTGAAAACAATTATGATGTGTTTGGAATAGGAGTGAAGTAAACATTCTCATTTATACTCTTTGAAAAAACAAATTACCCGGATACTATGTTCTGCTGTTGATATTGCCTATCATGTACTGATTTCCATCACAACGTAAAACAATTTTGGCACATTTTTCATCTCGTTTTGTCTGATCCTCAAATCAATGTAACTAAAAGTATGATCCTTTAAATGGCATCTGTTTATAAAAGTATAGCATTATCATATCACTAACAGATTTGGAAAGCTGTTTGGATATATTTATTGCTAATTACAGTGGGAACATGTGGGAGAGAAGTTGACCTCAGCAGCTTCGGGGTAGGCGGGGTCAAAAAGGGCAAGGTGATGGTTATGGAGTCTGAATTGAAGCCCCGCCCCTTTCCCTACACCTCCTGCAGATGGCTTTCTCTTTTTCACCCGCATTTCAATCTTGGTATGGAGTGTGTTTGGCATGAAGAGTGCTATAATTTTATTGTATAGCTTTTGATTGATGGGAAAAAAATGTGAATTAATCTTGCCAGATTTTTATTTTTCTGACTGTATACTTTCAAGGTGAGAAATGCAACCCCTCCCCAAAAAATAATTTGTTGCTGTGTATTCCAACTGCTTGATTGTCAGTAGTTATAAATGAGCCCCTCTGTGCTTGTTTAACAGAATAAAAAAGATACGTTTACTATGTTTACATTGGTTCATTTCTTAATGTTTTGAAGGAAGTGGAAACAGCATAATCCGCTGATTGACTCCGGAGGAACACATACATTGAAGAGAGGGAATCTATGGATGCTGAAGAAAAAAAAAAATCCTAAATAAGGTTCTTAAATAAACCAAACCACTCAAACTGAGGGAAAAACATATCTTTGCATAAGGTTCATCTCCCTTATTATCCAGTCAATAAGGCTGAGCACATCCTTTAAAACAGCTGCTTTGAAACGTGCTTTGGAATTAATGTTCAGAGTATGAAAACTAAATGATATGAACTTTAACTATTAATCCTAAACTACTATTCATTTAATTGATTAATTAAAACCCTAACTCCTCCTTAGCTGTCTCCCCCCCCCAATTATGCCAGCATCATCCAGGGGCTGTTTTAAGGTGTACAAAATCTGTTAAGCTTTCTCATTCATTGCCCTGGAGAGAGGTTAGGTGACTGGCACTGTGCTTTGTTATTAGGGGCAAGAGAGGATTACCATTGGGGACAGAAAATGTCACGCCAGGCCTGTTTTCTGCCAAGTGACGCACAGCTCATAATGGCCTTCAGAAAATCTCTCTCAGCCTAGCCTAAACAACCCTCTTGCTTTTTGGAAGTGAGGTAAAGTGGTATTATTTCAGCAGGCTTTGATTCCTTAGCTGTGCTTGGGAGGCCATCGTTCGTAGTTTCTTGTCACAGATTTTTAATGTTTACATTTTGAAATTGTTTGCTGTCCAAAGTTTGTATGGATCGGGGAGGCCTGTGAATGTTTTTAACAAACAAACTCTGAACTGAACAGAAAGCTGTAAATGGAAAATATATTTAAGTTAATACACATAGGATTGCACTGATACCGAGTCCAGTTCCATCCTTCTATGTCAGAGAATCTGTTGCTCTCAGTTTAATTTCCCTTCTACAAGTAATCATTGTAGGGATCTTACAAGGAGCCTGTGTCTCACAGCTACAGGCTGGATAAACAGGGTAGAGAGAAAAAGAATCACATTCACTCACCAGCTTAGGATCAAGTCCTACCACCAGTGATAGTGATATTCCTCTTCTAGTGAAATTTTATCCAAAAGAATCCATTCCTTAAAACCACAGCAAAATGGCCCCCATGGTATGCCAATCTGAAGGGGGGGGGGAAAGTGTTTGAACTAATTTACAAGCTTCCATAGCAATAGAAATGTGGAAATCAATCTACTGAATCTTGTAGAACAGCAATATCTTAAATCAAGAGGTCAAACCCCACTCTCTACTAGCACTGATAATGTTACCTATTTTGGAGTATGAAACGTCTTCAAGAAAACTACCAAGCTCAGGGAGCACCAAGAACCACTCATTTCAATCCTGAGCTACAAATATTCTCCTTTATCAATACCTTAAACCCAGTGGTGGGTTTCAAATTTTTTTACTACCGGTTCTGTGGGTGTGGCTTGGTGGGCGTGGCAGGGGAAGGATACTGTAAAATCTCCATTCCCTCCCCAATCCAGGGGATGGTTACTGCAAAATCCCCATTTCCTCCCGATCAACTAGGACTCAGGAGGCAGAGAATAGATGGGGGAGGGGCCAGTCAGAATTTTTACTACCGGTTCTCCGAACTACTCAAAATTTCTCCTACCGGTTCTCCAGAACTGGTTAGAACCTGCTGAAACCCACCTCTGCCTTAAATCCTTTAGCCGTATTCAGTGGAAAATACAGAGCAATAATCTCATGAAGTATTTTTAAATCTCCACAAACAAACCATCGGTAAAAAGCAACATCTGCTCGCTTGTCTTGAAAATAACTTGTTTACCAACTCCTTGAGAATTAAGTTGGGGTTTTTTTTTTTTACAATTTTTTACAAAAATAGATTCAAATTGTGTTGGTGTTGCACCATTCCCTCTGGCAAGGAAACGCTAGAAACTTGCTCTTTGTTGTCAGAGTCTTTTACAATCAACAGGAACACAACCCTTTTGATGAATTCAGAGCAAATGCATTTTCATGAATTTATTTCCACAACTCAGCTTTGGATGGCAGCACATGGGCTAGAGAAAAGACTGGAATGAGCCATTTTCCAGCATATATGAAAAATAATAGCCAATTATTTGCATATAAACATTTTTAACCATTTTTTTTTTAAAAAGCAGTTGTGGCTTTCTTATTGTCTGAATAGTTTTATTTTCTGAAGCAGGCACATCGTTTGGATCTATTCATTTTAATCAAATCTATTCATCCACGATATTACACTCATGGAATCCATTACAATACTTGAATTCCTAAAGGAACAGCTTTTATACAAATCTCCAGCCCTCATAATACATGGGAGATATGTGACCTCAATCAATACAAGGTTAAGGACGCTGCACTGGCAATGAAATAATAGTGTCTATAAAAGGTTTCCAGAGTTAGTTAGCGAAATGTTCTCATCTGTTTTGTACAACGCAACCTCCCATATTCATATTCAAATTACTGTATTGCTGAAAAGAATATCGCATTTAAATATCTCAAAATAGACCCAAACATGTAATCTCTCTCCATTTGATTTTCTCAAATCAAGAAATTTTTTTGATGGCCGAGTGAGAGGGAGAGGGGCATATTTTTTTGATGTATTTTAGGGAGGTTACTAAGGGGCCACAAAGGAAAGAACTGTAACTTGGTGTCATCCCTGCAGTGTGCAACATTTTGAGAGAAACATGTTGACATATTTTTCTTTGATAAGGAAGGGAATGAGTCAGGCCTATTCAACCACTCACCGACAATATCCAATTATTTCCTCTAGTCCAGTAGAAAAACCACACACAATCATTTCTTGGCAGATTGTTGACAATATTCAAGAACACATTTTCTAGAACATGCTGGCTGGGGAATTCTGGGAGTTGAAGTCCACAAGTCTTAAAGTTGCCATGGTTGGACACCCCTTGGACACGAAGGCTGCAAAATGAAGCTTGGGAGCGACACATACTTGTTGGGCTATGAGTTGCTCATTCTCATTTTAAATCATAAATCATGTCACCTGTTTTCCTTAACAGGCCAGGCTATTTCCTGGAATACAAGTAAATACTGAATAAAATAGTGAAACAAATATTAATATCAGTTAGTAAGACAGCACAGTAGTTAAGGCACCCAGGTAAACCCAGAAAACTGGGAGTTCTAGTCCTGCGTTAGGTATGAAACTAATTGAGTGACTCTGGGCCAGTAACTTTCTCTCAACCCCAGGAAAAAGGCAATGGCAAACCACTGGAATTTTTTTTTAAAAAAATCTGCCATTAAAAATAAAGCAGTGCCGATAATAGTTCTGAAGCCCTACTTAACTCTACTTGAGGGTCGTCTTCAGTTCTTGTGAATCCTCCTTAGCTGCTTCTCAGCTCACGGCTGAGATTCTATAAAGCACATTCCTCTTTCACATAAAGACAGCTTCTGAGTCCCCATGCTTGGCACTTCTGGGCTGATTTAGAAGTAGTGAGGTACATTTGTCGATGGAATCTTCTCATTACAGTGCTTTTGTTCTTTCCAAGTTCTCTTTTGCCCAACTGCTCTTTTATATCAGCCAGCTCTTCTCTGCCTAGTTTCAACAGGTTTTGTTCTTTCTTGAATCCCTCCTTGCTTTATCCTGAAAGTAGTCTTCCACTATTCATGTAAGCAGCTGATTGTGAAGAATTTAAAAAATAGTGATACTCTTCTTATTTTTTCCCACCAAGTAACCAGGAGAACATTTCAGACTGGAAAGCATCTTTCACCTTGAAACGTATTCATGAAAAGCTTTCCTTGCAAATTTCTAAATTTCTAAAACTATTTGTTGTCGTAATGAAATAAAAAGTTCTTGAAATGTTAGTTGTATTTGTGACTATTTGTGTGTGCAACTTCGAATCCTTGCTGTCTCCTGGTGACTTACCTGGACAAATCTGTCATTTTCTTGGCAAATTTTCAGAAGTGGCTTGCCACTGTCTCCTTTCTGGAGCTGCGAGAGAAGGACTGACTCAGGTTCCCCAATTGCCTTTATACCTAAAGCAGTTTCTAACATGGTACTTTAGCTACTACACCAGGGGGTGTCCAACCTTGACAACTTTTAAGACATGTGGACTTCAACTTCCAGAATTTGCTGGCTGGGAAATTCTGGGAGTTGAAGTCCATAAGTCTTAAAGTTACCAAGATTGGATACCCTTGCACTGCACCAAACTGGCTGTCTCATTCAGGACTATAGTACAAAACATTTTAATTGTTTTCCTTGGGTATGTTCTAGGCTAGAGTGCATTTAGCTTTCTAAATCCACATTTGTTTCAGTCTGAAACCTTTATAAATCATGAATTTAACCATGTAATTTTTTTTAGGTGAAAAAGACCACGTGATTCCTCTTCTTGTCCTTCCCATACATTCTATCCTGAGACACCCATCAGTGATATATAGAAAGAATAAAGCATCTATCTCTTTCATTGAAGAAATGTGTTCTGTCTGAAAGGCAAATGTAGATATTGATGTTATAGCTCTCTTCCTTCAGAAGATGGCACTCTTTTCTCCAGATCTTCACCATATCAAACCAAGGAAATTCAGCAGAACTACTGAAAGAAATTATTTGGCTTCTGAACTGCAATAAAACCACACTCTCTACAACTTATGAAAATATTTGTCAATAGGCTACATTTAAAAAAAAACCCTATCCTTTTATTTCTTCTGTAATAATACTAAGGACCTATTTATAATAACCAAATGTCTTGTAGAGTCAGAATACTCAAATAAGCCACTCCAACAACTACAGAATAACAGAGTTGGAAGGGACCTTGGAGGTCTTCTAGTCCAACCCCTTACTCAAGCAAACAACCTTATATCATTTCAGACATGTGATTGTCCAATCTTTTTTTAAAAACCTCCAGTGTTTGGGCACCCACAACCATTCCACTGATTAATTTTTCTGTCAGGAAATTTCTTCTTAATTCTAGGTTGCTTCTCTCCCTGATTAGTTTCCATCCATTGCTTCTTGTCCGGCCTTCAGGTGCTTTGGAAAATAGCTTGACCC